GGAAAGGACATTTTAAAGGTGATTAGCCAGTATAGGGCTAGTCACACATTGACAGAAAGGTAATAGATAGCTTAGTAAGCTTCTGGAATGATCGTCTGAGGAAGCTATAGACAAAATCATCCCAGCAGCATCTACAGCATTTCTCAGATCATCTCTGACCTAAAGAAAGGAACCCTACTCCTTGATTTAATAACTCCTTGGTACACTACAGAGGTTAGGTAGCCCTCAAGAGTGAAAATGGAGGAAAACTTGGTCAGACAATGAACAGTATAAACTGATTATGCTCCTTATTCACAAGCAGCTGCAGCTGCAAAAAGAACATATTATACAGGAAGAATAGCATGGGCGTATTGCATTTCAATAGGACTTAAATAGACATACAAGAACGGATAACTGTAAGATCAAACAATGTATGGCCTATAGAGGACCAACAGCAATATACTGATGTGTTTATTAAAATTTTTAATCAAAAAGTCCTGTTGATCTGGGCCAATTTAGACTCTAACGGAAATAGTAAAGGTTCACCTATCATGGAAAAAAGGGGAGTATGTCTAGTTACTGGGCGGTCTCCAGCCTGCTCTTTCTGGGTAAAGTTGTTGAAAAGATGGTGAAAGAGCCACTCCAGAAACACCTAGAGGACACATTTACTCTTGGTTCCTTTCACTCTGGTTTCAAGCCTGGCTACAGTGCTGAGAAGGCTGCAGGGGCCATAGTGAAAGTTCTCCTTTCTCATTCAGATATTGCTAATATTGTTAGATTTTTTTTCAGCAGTCTTTAATACAGCAGATTCTTGTATATTGTTGACAAGATTGGAGCATTAGCTGGGTTTAGCTAGACAAATTCTTTTCTCTGCAAAAGACCCTAGAGGGGACGGTAGAAGACTATTTATTAGCCAGTCCAGAAATAGCTGTGTGGATTTCCTTGAAGTACCATTTCAGCACCAGTGCTCTTCAACATATACGTGAGACCAGTGGTGGGGATCATCCATAACTCTTCAGTTGTGGGTGTCATCATACAAGAATGATACCCAGTTATCTCTCTCATTAACTGAGCAACCAGAGACAGCTGTAACAGTCCTTAATAACTGTTCACTTGACAAATCCAGCTGTCACTTTTGTAATGGTTGCTGGGGTAAAGAATTCTCTTATGAACCAGGGGTGTCTTATTTCATCAGTTATTCTTCCTGGAGAAACAAGTGGGGATCATGGCCAGGTTAGCACTTTTACTATCAGTCCCTGGTCTAGAAACTTTCTCCCTATTGGGAGAGAGTAGATTTGATCATGTTGAGTCATATTTCTGTAATCTTGAGAGTAAACTGTTGCAATTCACTCTTAAGTAGTGAATTACAACTGTTACAGCATACATTGGCTAGACTACAGACACATGATATATATTCTACACCAATCCCCCTGACCTCCAGTGGTTTGTCAGGTTGGGTGGGTGGGAAACAAGGTTCCCAACCCCTCAGAGGTTGCATGTTCTGTTATAAAGCATATTCAAAGAATCAGAAATGTTGTGTTTCTCAATAATACCTATAAGCAGATAATATTCATCTTTCTTTAGCTTAACCATCAACTACTTCTTCCAAGTGACCATGTGACATGAAACATTTTTAGAAGTGCTGTATCTCCAGAAATTACGAGATATTTCATGGCCATGTCATTGACACAAAGATCAATGTTATTTTTATTGCTTAGTTCAGAAGGAGGAGGCTTTTGGCTCTCCATTTGTATTGGAGTTATAAAATTTATTATTCTCCACCATGGGCTATGCTAGGTGTGGATTGTGGGAGCTGGAGTCAAAATATTTGACTCAATTGATTTGGTGCTCATGCAAGAATAGTTGTTTTTCCACAATGAATTTTTAAATTAATGAAACAGAAAACACAAAATGACTGTAAAGTTATTTTTACAAGTAGAATTTCAACTGTCTTAAGAGAGTACTGTAGATTCTAGGGTGAAATTGTCAGGTGGTGGGTGGGGGCTGGGTGACCACACACAGGGGCCTAAGAGAAGGGCCTCCTGAAAGATCTTAAAAAGCAGATTGAGTTGGGTGTCATCAGCACACTGGTGGTAGCAGATCACCACATTCTGGACAGCCTTTCAGGTTTTTCATGTACGTATATGTGAAATAGTATGGGGAATCATGGAACCCTGAGGCACTTCAGAGGTGAATGGTCAAGGGGTTGAACAGGAGTCCCCCAGCACCACTACCATTCACAAAGTGACACCACACAAAGCGAAATTCCAGAAGTTGACTCCTTTTTCCATCAGTTAACCACTTCTCACCCAAATACAAAGCAATTATCAGGCCTGTTTTTCAACAAGTGTGAATGGAAGTGAGCAGAAGAGGGTATCCTGTAGACCATCTTGACTGCTGCCAATGGTGTTGTCAACATTCAGGCTGCCCTTTGCTATGTAAAGTTGGGCATCCTTTTGTTAAGAGTTCTGGGAATTTGTGTAATTTCCAATAAAATGCACAGTGGAAAGCCAGCTACTTCAGCTAGAAGTAGGTAGGGAAGTTCCCTTTCTTTATCCACCCTCACCAAAGCCTAGCACTTTTGAGTAAACAACACTCAGGAGGTTTTTGTATTTTTGACTCACATGAATAGGCACTCAGTAGGTTTCAGGTTGATACAGAAGGAAAATAGTAAAAGCAAAGGTTCTTTTCTCAGCCCACATGGCTTGGAGGATCTCTGGGGTTCAGAGATCCTGCCTGGAAGTCTAGCATCTTGCAAGGTGAAGAAGGATCTGGGTTACAAAATGTTGTATCTCAAACCTCATGATAGAAAGGGGAGTGACAATGGGTGGAGCTTATTTAACCCAGGAAACAACAAATCCTTCTAATTGGTTAGTATATAAACAAACAGGCAAAAAACCAAGTTAGTCTCTGATGCAGGCCCCTTCCTCCCACATCTTGAAATTAGCATTTGGATTGCTGATTAGCCAACACCTTTTTCTTCTGGCAATGTGGGCACAATATTATGCAGCAATATTGGGACATTTCCTGGCTTTTTGAATCATGGGTGCCAGTGTTCCCTCTAAGTTTCTGTCCCACTGCATGGAAGCCTCACTCCATGGGGAAATAAACAAAGTGTGCAACTTTGACAGAGCTCTGAGCAAGCATGTGCACAGCTTACAGGGAACATTGATGCGTATAGAAGCACAATGTTCCACATTCATAAACTGGAGGTTTTTGAAGAATTGAATTATTATCAGCATGTATAAACACAGTACTGGGGTCCACACAAGCAGATTATAAACTGGAGTGAACTGGAGCAAGGCAGAACAAAAATACATCACCACCTGGCACTAATTTCAGCTTTTTGTGATATAGACACTGGGAGGCTGTACTAGCATCAAGGGTGTAAGGAAAGTTGAAAAAATGCTCCTTGTGAATAAGCTTTCAATTTACTCCTGCTACTATTTGTGTCTCAGTATACTGTAAGATGCTACTCCTGCTACTATTTGTGTCTCAGTATAAGATGCTTATGAGGGAAGTGGCGGCGCTGTGGGCTAAACCGCAGAAGCCTGTGCTGCAGGGTTAGAAGACCAGCAGTCGTAAGATCGAATCCACGTGATGGAGTGAGTGCCCGTCGCTTGTCCCAGCTCCCGCCAACCTAGCGGTTCGAAAGCATGCAAATGCAAGTAGATAAATAGGGACCACCTCGGTGGGAAGGTAACAGCGTTCCGTGTCTAAGTCGCACTGGCCATGTGACCATGGAAGATTGTCTTCAGACAAAACGCCGGCTCTATGGCTGGAAACGGGGATGAGCACTGCCCCCTCGAGTTGAACACGACTGGACAAAAATTGTCAAGGGGAACCTTTAACTTTATAAGATGCTTAAACTGGAGAGTTTGGAAACCACTAGAGAACCATTGGAGTGGAAGTGCTGCACAAATCTGGCTTCTGATTGCTTCTTATTCCTAAGAAAATGCTCTTATTCATCTTAAAAGAGGATTCACTGCCTCTCAATCATCCAGGTTTTATCAGGTCTGTAAATCATTGCAGGCCAAAGCCTTTATAAATCCCAAAGATTATACTGTTTTCTCCAGTCAGGCCAAGAGATGTTTTCGAGGGGATAGCCATATTACTCTATTGTCTTTAAAATTAACAAGTTTTAATTATCATAAGCTTTTGTGGATTATCATCCCTTTTATCACATGCACAGTCAAAAGTTACTAGCGAAGCCACAAGTGTCTAGAGAAGTCATATGCCTGGTTATAGGGAGGGGACACAGCAAAATGAACTATAGAACATGACACTTGTATGAACACTGGTGGCAAACTTTCAAAGAGCGAGTTACCATCGACATGTAGCCATCCTGGCAAAAGAAGGGTCGGTTACACAAGTACAGTGCCCTCTGAGGAGTTAAAACCCTGGCTGATGCTTTAGCCAAGGTGTCTCTGTTTTGGGCACGAATGACCTGTTTTATCTCATAGACCTTTTGGACAAATCATTCTCGCCACACACTGTGAGGGAGTCAGACGAACAAACCTGGCGAGGATGAGCCGATTGATATACATGTAATCCCTCACTCCCCATCCTCGCCCTCCGCCCAGTAAAGGCGGGAAGCCAGAGCGAGGCTGCCAACGAAGGCGAAATTGCCTTTCTTCAGCAAGGCAGCAGTGGCTGTCCTTGTGGGTTGTTGCCGGAGGCTCTTCAGCGATTCGCCGCGCCTGCTCTCCAGCCCCAACCCCGGTTTAGCAGAAGCAGCACGGGAGGGGGGGGACATCTGAAGAGACGCCGAGTGAGATTCGCATTCCGCGGCAGGCAGCATCTTCTGCTGGAGGGAGAGGGACTGACCGAGCGCGGGCAAAAGGGCAGCGAGCGCCGCAGCGTTCCCTTCGCCACGGAGACTGCCAGACCTTCCCTCAGGCTAGGGCAGCCTTTTATTCCGGGGAACGAGGAAGCGAGCGGGACAGCGAAGAAGCCGCAATGTGAAGATCGCCAGGGCCTCCCCCCCCCCCCTCCCCCCCCCCCCGCCGCACACACACACCCCCCGCCCGCCGGCTCGCCTCCCTCACGAGGCTGAAGCCGTAGGATCTGTGTGTGTGTGTTGCGCGGCGGCTGGTGCTGGTGCTTCGCCTGGCCAGTGGAGGGGGCGAGGGGAGCGGGCGGCGGCTCGCCTGCCCCTGGCTGCCCGGTTCAGGCAGACGATGGGAATAAACCGGGAGAGCGGTCGCTTCTCCAGTGCAGAGAGGACTCCGGCTGCCTGTGCTGAGATGAAGGGAAGGCATCTCGCCTCGTCTGGGCAAGGTGGGAGAAGGTAACGTTCGTGTTTTGCTTTTCGGGGCGCCACTAATAAGGTGAACTTTTTTGCCTGCCGGGGGAGAACCAGGAAAGTTGCAGTCTCCTTCTCATGAGCACCGCGTCGGAGGGAACTGGCAAAGCCTGAGCGGGAGCGTCTAGTAGTGGCACCTTTAGAAACGACTTGAAGGTGGCCTCAGGTTTTTGCTGCAGCAGAGAAGAGGCGACCAACGCAGCGAGCCCCTGAAATGTTGTGGAGGACATCGACATCCGTGCACCAGCATCCACTTATCTTGCTCGAACCTCCCCCCCTCCCCTCCCCGCGCCCGGTTGCCTTTGCCTGCCTTTCCGGCCGTCTCCCTTTTCATCTGCTGCTGCCCCCCCTCCCGCCTCCGCCGCCGCCGCCGCCGCAGCTGCCGAAATGCAAGCGGTCACGTTTCCTGAAGCAGCGACTCTTTTTTTGATTTTGCTATCTCGTGAAGTACCACAGCGGCTATGCTGGATGGTGGTGATGATGATAAGGCAAAGTGGATAGAATGGCACTTGGGGTGCGCGGAAGTCACCACCATAAAGCCATTTTGTATCTCCAGCCAGGCACCAGACCGAGACCCAATTAATTTCACTAATGTGGTCTTTTGATGTGCCCCTCAAATTGTGTATCCTGACCACCTCACCCACCCATTTTATTATTTCTCTAGAAAGTTTTAGGAGCTGCCAAGTCTTTGAACTCTTTGTTTTTTGTTCTTTTCTGTCTCGTCTTTTTGCTTTGGTGCTTTTTTTTTTTTTTGGCAGTCCTCCTCCTAACAAATCTGGTTGGTTTCCCGCCCATTTTACAGATGGGGAAACTGATGCTGAAAAGTAAATGGAAAGAGTAGCCAGTGTTGCAAAAGGGCTAAATGGAGGAAAGGCTGGAAGCAGATATCCTTTCGATTAGATATCACTGTCTTATGAGAGGCATTCGTTCCTGCGGTGTGTAGTTGGTGATACTAGTTTTGTTCTATCGTTGTCATAGGTTAAGCTGTTGTTTCTTTCCTTTTTGGCAGAATTTTCTATTATTCAAAAAACTTTTTGTTAGAAATGAAAGTGGAATGAGTGGACAGACCGTGAAGGATATGCCTCCTTCAAATAAGCTGAAAATGTTTCTGAAAACTATGCTCCTTTTCAGTTGGAAAAAGTCTTGATGAAAGAGGTTATTTTGGAGCCTGTTCTATGAAGTACTACTTTAGAGCCTACTCTTGGCTGTGAGAGCTCACACCACTATAACACACCAGGCAAAATCCAAAGAAACAAGACAAGACAAAAGCTCACGTTAAATTCTGATAGTCTTTAAGATGCCACATGTTTTTGTATTTTCCCCACCTTGGATTTTGCCTGATAGGCTTGCATAGACTAACATAGCTATCTCTTCCAAAACTACCACTGTAACGGTTTAAGATATGTACAGACCTATCAATACTGTGAGATTTGGTGCTTAAAAGGTCCTTATCTTCAGTGCAATCTAACTCTTGCTACCCATCCACAAAGGCTGAACAAAGAAGTATTTTTGCATCTCAATGAATTGTCCCTGAAAGATGGCATGCCCTAGTTCTGTGCCAGAAAGACATGAGCCAGTTCTTAAAGAGAAAGGATGGGGCATTTTAAGTAGGAATGAATGAGGTCTTTTTTCCATGCCAAACAGTGCTATCAGGGAACCATATACCATAGCTATATGCCAGAAATAACCCATGCTGAATTCAGGAAGACATACACAGGAAGACATAAGCATGCACAGGATGGCAGCATAAAGTGTGTGTGCAAACTACAGTATATAGACTTAGCTGAGTCTATCTCCCATTACATTTGATGGATCTTACTTCTGAATTGATATGTTTAGGTCTGAGCTGCGATCTGCTACAGTATAGTTACTTTTTCATTCTGAAGGGAATCTGACTTGCATTCCACAGATGAACGCATAACCCAGGATTCTCAAATCCAGTACTATCCACAGAATAGATGGGCCATAATGATTCTTATTCTATGGCTTCTGACTTTTTGGTATGCCTGGACACAACATGGTTGCATTTCTTCTTGGTTTTCAATATATAGGATCTTTCTCTGAGAGTCCACACTATCAGATGTCGTGTGGCTTCTTTGTTTGTTTGTTTTTAATTTTGTTCTTCTAAATAATCAGTAAGAACCTGCGTTTCAGAGTGCAGCATTAGATGTAGAAAACAGAATCTTGGTTGTTTAATCTTGGGCAAAACCTTGATGAGAATAGTTCGAAATAACTATACAGTGGATGGCATGGCAAATTTCTGCCATGAGGCTGTGATATGAAATGAGATGTACAAGTGCATTTAAATTAGAGGACTTGAGTAGAGGTCACTGAAATATTAATTAATATTTCTCTAATTTTTTACAAGCTAATAAATATGAAAGCTAGTTTATTCATAAACTGCTGCGTTTCCTGATTGTCAATCAAGTGCATTTTTGATTTGCTTCTACTGTTTCTAATGTTTTAACTTATTTTATACAACAGAGTTCTCTAAGTAAAAGCAGTCCATAAATAAGGGGGGAAAAGATAGGAAATTCCAATGTGGAGCATTCACACATAAGTTTGGTTTCAATTTGTTAAACTTTACTTGTTGGACTGTGGGGTTTCTTTTTTGTAGGAGTACAATTTTTATAATTTTGCTTATTCTCGGGTACATGTTCTATCCTTTGAATCATCAGGGAAAATCATTGTGTATACAACTAGTAAATGGAACTACATTATGGATGCTTATTCTGGAGTCTGCCATGATTTAGAATTTTATGTTTTTCCTCTTGTTCGTCAAGTCTTCATAAAGCCACCTATTTGATGTTCCTCTCCAATTTTAAAATAAATATTTTTAAAGTATATTCATGTTATCTGGAACAAATAGCATTCCTTTTTTTTGTACAAGTGATTACAATGTTAAATTTCTAACCTTTCCTTTTTGAAAAAGAACCTGCAAGTGGTTTAAGAAAATATAGGCCATTATTTTCAATTCAAATAAGAAAGGGAGGCTGAGCAGTAATAATCTGTGTAAAACTGTGTAAAACAAATATGCTGTATTTAAACTACTGTGTAAAACTACCAAACAAATGTGCTGTGTTTAAAAGCAATTTTTTCTATGTCCAAGACTTCTAGTGGCCTTCTATTTTTTATATGACAAATAAAAATTGTGTATAACCATTTGCTATTTTTCAAAATGCAGATTGTAATCGGATGTCTTCTAAACTGATCTTTTCCAGGACCTGTGGATTCACAGAGCAAGTGTTTTTGATGTGAATGAAGCATGCTCTGCCCTTCTGGGATGGCTTAAGTAATGTCCACCAATACTGCAATGGCAATTGGGGCTCTCTCCAGATCTCTTCTTGTGACTTGCTGCCTGATGGTTGCTCTATGTAGTTCAACTACACCTTTGCAGAAACTGACTAAGTCTCAAGACAAGCAGGTGATAAAAACCAGCCAGGAGAAGAGGGACCATACTTCAGCCCGGGAGAGTCAGAATCAGACTGGACCAGGAAAAATGAATGAAATCAGCAGAAGTGGGAGGGAGGAGGGCACCAGAGACTGGAAGAGCAAAGGCAACAGAAATTATTCTAATAAAGAATCTTGGACTAAGCAAAAACAAACTTTGAGTAGTCAGGGGACAAACAGTAAGTTTGGAAGCCTCCAAACCCAAAATCAAATGGATGGTCTTCATGAGAATCTTCCAGCTGCTGAAGATTCTTCTCTCTTGGATGTTATTGCTAGTACTACTCCTGAGCCTGCAGAGGAATATGCTTATCCAGACTACCGTGGAAAAGGTTGCGTAGATGAGAGTGGCTTTGTTTATGCAATTGGAGAGAAGTTTACACCAGGTCCCTCTGCATGCCCTTGCCTCTGCACTGAAGAAGGGCCTCTGTGCATCCAGCCAGAGTGCCCTAGACTTCATCCTCGCTGTATTCATGTTGACACAAGTCAGTGTTGCCCACTGTGTAAAGAAAGGAAGAACTACTGTGAGTTTCGTGGAAAGATCTACCAGACATTGGAAGAATTCATGGTAAGGTGTTGACAGTGAACGGCAGGCTACTCATTCTTGTAATTTCTCCCTCCTGACAGCTTTCATATTCTGAAGATGGCTTCTCTGAGATGATTTCACATCCTTCCTTACACTTGCACTCCTGCAAGAATAAAACTTGTTTTATTTCAAGTAAAAGAATAACTTTTGAGTAGGATATTTGTGTTATCATCTAATTTTTGTGCATGCTTAAAACCTAAATGGGGTTTATGGATATCTACAAATGGCAACTGTTTTTTTTTTCAGAATATAAGTTTATTGTTATTGTCTTTTATTAGTATTTAGTGTGGAGAATTAGTTGTTAATAATAAAATGATGAAGAGAATATATTTTGGTGATGTGCCTGTCTGCATTTTCCCCAATTTTTGCCTCTCCAAATGGGGAATGTCAAGGTTATATAATCTTTTATCTGTCAGAGCAATTATTAGCCTGTGGTATAATTCTAGGAACATATTTCAGGGAACATGATGTGGTGAGTTCAATCAGGGTCAGCATTTCTATCTGCTAAAACTCTCTTTCTAATGAGACCGTATTTTCATTATCCTGGAAAATTTAATTTCTATTTTCCAGAACACTGCAATGATTTGGACTTAGGGCTCAACTAGACATTTGCCCTTTTTTGCTTTTGTACTTCAATAATAAAAAGTACAGCCACAGGAAGAAACAGTCTTGAATGCAAGACAAGCAAGAGGATTTTTTCTCTACTAGTTTTTTGTTTTGTTCTGTTTTAGTGGGGAAAAAACTGGGAATGGAAAGGGGCAGGTAGATCCTGTTCTTTCTTGCAATCTTTCCTCTGACAGTTAAAAATCTCTTAAATTTCAAACAAGAATAATAGAAACATGTACACAACACTATTAGTCTGTAGCATGAAAAATAAGTTATTACTTACAGCAGATGACTGTAACTTGTATAATTTGTGATTGATGCTATAGCTATCCTAATGAGAGAGTGAATTTGTGTGATACAGTGTGAAATGAAGTTGTGATCATGGTGAGTTTGGGAGGTATTGTGTGGATGTTTACTAGCTGAACCTGTGTTTGAACAGATGTAGCATTGGGAGTTGCTTCAACTATGATATTGTGTCATAGGTATCTTCAGAAAAGTGAATATGGATGCAGATGTGGGAAGAAGGGGTCATAATGGGACTTTAGTACATATATGTTTATGTTTCATTCCCCTATCTTATCTTTCCCTTAACTTCCTAGTAATCATTTCATCCTGTGATGCACCTTTAGTCTAGTACCACTATAACGTCTGGATGATTCACTGTAAAAGTCTGTGCATTCATGAAATAATAATGGAAAGGGGAGGTCATCTAGCATGTATTACAGTGGCCTAGGTAGATGATCCTACCTATGTTGCATAGGAAGGGGGTCGAATAATTTTGAACACAACTGTATGTTGCATAGGCAGGAGGGTCAATGAAGAGTTGCAATGGTCCAAAAAGTCTCCATCTTCCTCCACACATTTCATCTATACTTAGAAAACTGTGGAAACTGTCACTATAAGTCAGAATGGAATTGATGGCACATAGTTATTACTACTATTTGACTTCCCCCTGCAGGGATGTGGGCTAATTTGACATTAATGCAATATGATGGAATCCTGAACATGCAGAATTGTTTGCCTGAGGAATATTGCTGGTCAGCCTGTTAAAATCTTAGTCTCCTATGGAATGATAAACTGTAAGGGATCAAACTCTTCTTCATTGGAACAGTTCTTTATAGGCTCCATTCTGCCAAGTGCTTAGGAAACAAGGCACACAAGGTCTCCAAAGCATCAACAATCTCTCTGTGAAGGTTCTCAGTCATTCAGGTGAGGTTATCTGGAAGCTGAGTCATGGCAACTGGACTTCTTTCTTATTAGGTTGAAACCTTTCACTACTCATCCAAGTAGCTACTTCAGTTTGAGGAAAGTTGGTAGGAGATCCCTGATATATCTTCCACGTTGGTTTCACTTCCCCCTGGTCTAAATAGGTTCCTTAGATGGGCAAAGGATGGGGGGGGGTTTAAAAAAATCTCACTCATGCAGTGGTTTTTCCAGTGAGTGTAGTCCTGATATTTCACTGTTAACAACTGTTAATGACCCATGACAATGGGTGGAGGAAGACTGCAGAAGTGGGATTTTTACTCACCCCCAGTCCTTTGTCCATCTAATGAGCCTATACAGACCAGGGGGAAATGAAACCAGGGTGGAGGATATATCAGGGGTCTTCTACCAACTCTCCTCAGACTGAAGAAGCTACTTGGATGAGTAGCGAAACGTTTCAACCTAATAAGAAAGAAGCCCAATTGACATGACTCGACTTCCACATCAACAGTCCCATTCATTGGAACAACTGTTCCGTAATCTCACTCACTCTGAAAAGGTTTGCTAGATGGCTTCTTTAAAATGCAGTGGAAGCAGGAAAAAATAACTCCCTTTTTGCCATCCTCAACGCCACATAACAGATACATTTGTTTAGTTGTTTAATCTGTTTTCCCCCATGTAATTATGGGGTCTAGCATCTGTTTGGTCAGCCTCATAGCATGCCTTCTACAGTTGGTGTTCTTGCCACTATCCATCTTTTGTTGTTCTTCGTTCCTTTATCAGGGAGACACAACATTGGAGAGCACACTTAGCTGCAAGTGCTGCACAAAAACAGTCATACCAGGGTAAAGCAAGCTGCATATTGAAATAGTGGCATCTTAGCTCTAAGGTTAGAGGACAAGGCATTTGCCTTTTCTTTCTTTCTTTCTTTCTTTCTTTCTTTCTTTCTTTCTTTCTTTCTTTCTTTCTTTCTTTCTTTCTTTCTTTTTTGGTAGCTGCATCACACTTCAGCTTGTGATCTATGGCAATTTCAAGATCCTTCTCACTTGTAATATTGCTGAACCAGGTATCCCTCATCTTGTAACTGTGTGTTTGTTTTCTTTTTCTGATGTGCAGTACTTCGCATTTATCCCTGTTATATTTCATTCTGTTGTTTTCAGCCCAGTTGTTCAAGCCTATCCAGATCATTTTAAATTTTGTTTTTGTCTTCCAAAGTTTAGCTATTCCATGCAATTTTGTGTCATCTACAAATTTAATTAGCATTCCATGCACCCCCTGATCCAGGTCATTAATAAAGATATTTGAGCCCTGGGGTACCCCTCTTGTTACTTCCAACCAGTTTGGAAAGGGGCCATTAACCATCACTCTATAGGCAACTGCGTATCCACCTGACAGTTTTCTATCCAGCCCACACCTAGTTAACTTGCTAATCAGAATATCATGGGATGACAAAGTGGTGCCTCTCCAGATATTGATGGAGGGTGGTGGAGGAAAGATGTCTGGTGTCAGAGTCTCTGTGTGCCACAGCAAGGAAGACATTGCAGTGTACCATGCGTGGGTCATCATTTACAGTGGTGAAATGCTCTCATAAGGAGCCTCCGCCATGTTTGGGACTGTGATGGCTCACTGACTGCCCTTGTCTACTCCTGGACTGAGAATACTGTGTGGTGCTGGTCTGGGGTGACTGGGGTGTGCTACTAGGAGAAGAGTCTGGGGACAGGGTGGTGGTGGTATCACTTTCAGTTCAGAGGACTGGAAGGATTGCAGATTCTCTAAAAACAATAACTCCTCTGGTGCCTCAAGAGCAGCCACTCTTCCTTAGCCACCCGAGGATGCTTTGCTTCCACCTCCACCTGCAAGCCCACTGGAGGAGGAAGACCATCAAATTCTACTAGAGGAATGGTAGTGCCTGATCTACTGATGGGCTTCTTCCCCTCTGAGACCTGACTTCCAGACCCACTCATATTTATTTTATTTTATATACCACCTTACTAGTGTAAGAGCACTATTCTGCATGGTTTTACAAATAAAATCCAAACACATTAAAAACACTCACTGTGTAATAAACCAGAAGGCGCCAAAACAATTTACAGCATATCTCAACAAGAGACTGAAAACATAACACAAAACAGGCACATCTGGATGTATAAATAGAGGGGAGGGGAGGAGAGGGGAGAGTACTTGTTCACAAATAAAAGGGAAAAATAAATGGGCCTATGCAAAAGAAGATTGTAATAAAAAAACCTATTTTAAAAAAATGGAAGAGTCCTCAGAGTGGAGAAAAAGGATGGTGGGAGCGAAGTCGAAAAAACACCCCAAACCACCCAATCTAACCCAGAGGCAAATTTTTGAGAGGGAAAAATTATTTTTTAAAAAATATAGGTGGAGGAGCAAGAAAACTATCCCCAATACTCTGAAAAAACACCCCAAACCACCCAATCTAACTCAGAGGCAAGTTTTTGAGAGGGAAAAATTATTTTTTTTAAAGATGGGTGGAGGAGCAAGAAAACTATCCCCAATACTCTAAATACCCCCCCCACACACACACACACAGAGCCTCAGATTCAAGAACTGAATGGAATAAAAGTCACTCACTAACTAGAAATGAAAATTAAAAAAATGGTAAGCCACTTAAACCAGAGGCTGGGGTCTCAGATGGACAGGAGAAAAAGAACTATTGAAAAGAGAGATAGAGAGAGGTCACCCACCCTACACTAATGCACACCTCCAAAAATAATTGGAAATAAAAGATACCCACCCAAAGAAAACCCTCTCCAAAGGCCCACTATTTGAAATAGATGAAATAAAATTGTGCTTTGTACACTGTAACTGTGAGCTGCTGTCTGGTTAAAGAGCACACAGACAGCAGCAACCACTCAGAGCAAAACCTGAAGCAGACGTGGCTGCAAGGGAACTACAGTACTTATAAAGCTTCTTAACAGGTAACTCCCCCAGAGCCCTTTGACATATAGACTCCTGACTGACAGGAGCAGGTTGCAGATGGCATGGGTGCTGGTGGTGGAAATGGCACAAAAACAGGTAATGGGGGTAAACGAAGTGACACATTGAAAAATCAGTAAAAATTCATTGCTTCATATTAATTGCAGTTGTCGCAACCGACGAATACCAAGCAATGAATTTCTGATGAGTTTGTGATTTTAGATGAATTTTGC